CCAACCCCTCCCGCCAGTGACCCCGCTACCTTCAAGTGCCTGGATCCTCCACGCCTTGCTTTTGATCGCCTGGATCTTACAAAGTCCCACCCTCTTCTATCCACTTCCTTCCGCTTAAGATTTGTCCTTTCACCTATAAGAATTATACAATACTGCTAAGGCAGAAATATCTCTTATGGTTAGGAACCTTCTCCAACTGCCCAGCCGGATAAAAGGAGGACTACAATCCCAGGCCCCAGGGGTTCCAAAAAATGTGTTTGAGTGTGTGTGTGGAAGGGGGGGGGGGGGGTTTTTGTTTCTTCCCTCCTCTGCACCCGCCTCTGGTACGGAGTTCTCAATTTTAGCTCTCCGACCTGATCGTAATTAAGAGACGCGTGGAGGAGATGGCTGGCCGGCTGGACACGCCTGGGTTAACAGATGGACAGAAGGTAGCAGCAGTAAATTTGTCCTGCCTTTAATTTGCTATTCTGATTCTTTCTGTATTTCTTTCTCTATCTCTGTCTCTGTCGGTCTCTCTCTCGCTCTCTCTGTCTCTCTCTCTCTCTCTCTCTCTCTCTTTCTCTCTCTCTGTATGTCTGTCCCTGTCTTGCTCTCTCTGTCTTGCTCTCTCTGTCTTTAAACATCTATCTATCTATCTATCTATCTATCTATCTATCTATCTATCTATCTATCTATCTCTGTTTCTCTCTTTCCTTCTCTTCTCACTTCCCATTTCATTATCTTTCTCTCCTTAAAGTCTCTTTCTGTCCTCCTGCTCAGAGCCCCCTCCTCCAAACTGCATAATGCCCCCTTTCAAAAATGGATTCTCTTATTATGAAAACTCGCCCTTTTGGCTATTCCTTTTCAGTATCAGTCCTTCGGATTTTGTTGTTGTTGTTGTTTGTTTTTGTTTGTGTGGGGGGGGGGGGTTGTTATTGTTAAATTATTCCCCCAGCTGCACTATTTGTGCAGCCTCAGACTGGTCCAACGTATGAGTTCCAATGGCCAAAGAATACACAAACATTCGTATAATTGTTACACCTGGACCAACTCAATAAATAAAAGATTTAAATGAATATCTTGATTAAGAATTCAGCTAGTTAATTATAAACAACAAAAAACTACTACCCCCACGAAAAAAAAACAACAGCCAGCGATCTTTTACAAATTATAATGAATAAAAACAATAAGCAAATAAATGTCGACACAAACAAATCAATTCAACGATTAACCGACTAATCGGTTGATAGATGGGAATAAACAGAAGAAAAATGATAGATAAGTAAATGTTTTACAAGAAAATGAATAATTAAACACACTCTAATAAAAACAGAAATAGCAACAAACATAATAATTAGTAACTTAGTAGATATACAAGAAAGTATGCAAATGAATAAACAAAAAAGGTTAGAAAACAGTAAATTAATAGATAACAAATTGCTTCGAGAAGTGCTGAAAGCTGTGCATCCTGATTTCAAATAAAGGCTAAAGTATAAGTCTTAGATAAAGCTAAATGCAAATACAAACAACAACAAATTTCAAATATCCTTGCTAGTGATATACAGATACCTACAGAATGAAACAAGTTTATTAAATATATTCAACCAGTAAGCTAGGTACATTATTTTATTTTACAGACGTCCCTATTCTTCATTAGCTTGTGAGGTTTTAAATAAGACTCAATGATAATAATAATATGATGTAGGCCTAAATGTACCAAAAGGCTGTCTGGTATGCATGCGTGTCTTCTATTACCGGAATATATACGGGCTGACACACACATACACACACACACACACACACACACACACACACACACACACACACACACACACACACACACACACACATACACACACATACATACATACACGAACGAACACACAGATGCATAGTTGTGCTCTCAAGCAGAGGCAAACACAGAAAGAGAGAGAGAGAGGGGGGAGGGAGGGGTGGAGAGAGAGGGGGCAGAAGAAGAGACATTCAGAGAGAGGGGGGGGGGGGG